CAACAACAACAACAACAACAACAACAACAACAACAACAACAACAACAACAACACCGCCACCACCACCAACAAGAGTACTCCCCTCTGCAGGAAGACAAGACCCCTGTAGAGATGTGCCCGGCAGACAGCCCCATGATGTCAGTGCTCACCACACTGGAGACTCGGGATCCGGAGGAAGAGCCGTGAGTTGGACACACTCACACGTCTTTCATAGTTTAGTTTTAGCTTTAGTAAAGTTTTACGGCGCTCGCAACTGCATAAGGTCATATGAGCACCAAGGGGTGGATGTCAACAGAGAAGTCCTTACAGGGAATTAGACTTACTCTGCTCACCTCTCTAGCCTCAACAGCACAAAGTCTTCTTCGACTATCAAGGCACTCCGAAAATAGTGGATCACAAGAGAGTGACAAACACACAAAAGAAGTAGAGGGAAAAATGACGATAGTAGTAAGGATTAGGAAGAAAAAGCCGCAGTTCCATTTCCTCATCCACGGGCGTCTCTATCTTTTTTCTCTCTCACTTTTGTTATATGGCTCTCGTTTCTGTAGATCAAGTATTTCCATGCACAGTCAAATCAATAGTTACGGGTAGTTGGACAGTAGCAAAGGTGGACCTTATTTCAATACTTTCCTTCTGTTGTTTGTCTGTTTTACCCTGTCCGCACTGTAAATGACCATTGTTCTGTCGTCTGTTAACTCACACAATCTGACCAATCCCCTGCCCCCCTCCCCCCCCCCGCAACCTTTCTGCACAAAGGATACAACTGTGCAGTCGCTACGCCAACCGGAAGTCTGTCTCTATCCCCCCACCTCTCCCTTGTGTTGTATGGCAGTTATTTCAGTAGATCTAGTATTTACATTTACAGTCACATTGCTATTTACGGGTGGTTGGAGGGTGTCAGCTAGAGGCGGACCTTATTTCAATACTTTCCTTCTGTTTATTCCAATTTGTCAATGTCGGCTAAGTTAAATTATCTGATCAGCTGCATGCATTTAAAAATATTTAAAAAATAGTAAAATACGTCATCTGATCAATACTAAGTATACTCCTTTACTAGTAACTAGCTTAATTTTATCAAGACTCGATTATTGTAACTCCTTGTTATCAGGAATATCACTGGAAAAAGTTAAAAGACTTCAAATTGTCCAAAACAATGCTGCACGTTTAGTTTTACGGAAAAGAAAGTGAGACTCAGCTAAACCTCTTTTACGGACATTGCATTGGCTTCCTGTTGAGAAAAGGATTGTGTACAAGTTGGCCACCCTATGTAAAAAAATGTTTGAATGATAATGCGCCATCAAATTTATCAAATCTGTCGAGACTGTACAATCCAACTCGCAGTTTACAATGGGTGAAAGGACATTTGAATACCATGGCCCCAAGGTCTGAAATGCTTTGCCAAGTACTTTAAGAGAGATCACATCTTTTGATTCATTTACATGTCAGGTGAAGTCATTTTTAAATTAATAAGATGGGTATTTGGAAAGATTTTCTTTTAGACAGAGAACAATGTTTTATGTTACTGTTGTATTGTACTGTTTTGTAAAGCGCTCACAGCCTGTGTACTTTAATCGGGGTTGAGCGCTATATGTAAAGTTACCTGGCGGTCCGATGAGTCGGGTCTGTCAGGGGGCCCCCGTCCAAGATAAGTGTTGCCTCGTCGTGGTCCTGAGTTCGACTGAATACCTCAGTGAGTCTCTCAGACGATGTCTCTCTATTTCGCTCCTGACTCTTGACGTCATCCAAGGGCGAGCCACTCCCCTAATTATAGTGTCCCCACAGTAAAGATAAGAGTCATGTCCCTTGATATCACAATGTCATTTTGTTGTTGTTATTATTATTATTATTATTATTATTATTATTATTATTATTATTATTATTGTTGTTTGTTTGTTTTACCTTGTCCATGCAGTCAATGACCATTGTTGCGTCGTCTGTTAACTCACACAAGCTGACCAATCCCCT